TATATATTTATTTATTTTACTTATTATTTATTATTTATGTATTCTACTTATTATTTATTTATTTAATAATTATATATGTATTTATTTACTTTACTTATTATTTGTTTATTATTTATGTATTTTATTTATTATTTATATATTTTTTATATGTATTTAATTTACTTATTCATTTATTATTTATATATTTTTTATGTATTTATTTTACTTATTCATTTATTATTTATGTATTCTACTTATTATTTATTTATTTATTATTCATATATTTATGTATGTATTTATTTATTTCACTTATTATTTATTATTTATGTATTCTACTTATTATTTACTTATTTATTTTACTTATTATTTATTTCTTTATTTCATTTATTAATTTATTTTAAATATATTTATATACTTGATTTATTTATTTGTTTTGTATATTTTTTAATTATTAAATTTGGATAAACTTTATCAGAAATAAGTTACTGAGATTTTTTAAAATTTTTTTTATTTATGTTGTGGTTGTAGGTAGAGTAGCATGAATTTGTTTTCGTTTCTGAATTTTGAAATGAGTTCAGATATTTTGTTTAGTAGTTTATCTTGTTATGGAAAAAGGTGATCATCGCAGTTTTCTCCTCTAGGAGATTTGAGGTGATACTACAACTCGGTCCGGTTTTTTTCTTATATTTCATATATTGTTGTAAAATAATCATCAATCTGATCACGGTCATTATCTGTTTGTATACGATATTGACAATCTTAGTCCTATGAGAATAATAATAATAATAATAATAATAATAATAATAATAATAATAATAATAATAATTATAATTATAAAAATGTCGCATATGGGAACATCAACAATCCCTGTTGTAGTTGGAGCCCTAGGACTGGTTGGAAAAGATTGCAGTAGACTAATTGAAGGGATTCCTGGAAGTCCATGCCTCAAGGAAATACAAAAAATTGTTCTGACAAGTACAACCCACAATTTACGAAGGGCTTTATCTACGTAATTTTTTTTATTTTATTTTTATTTTTATTTTTTTTTGTCAGTGGAATGTGTCATGATGATATTTCTAACCTTAGTTCCCTGGGCAGGACCCGGAAAGTAATGTGTAAACGCCAGAAATCAAAGAAAATAAAGATAATATAATAATAATAATAATATATATATATATATATATATATATATATATATATATATATATATATATATATATATATATATATATATATATAAATGCCTCACCTTGGACTAATGTTTAGGAACTTGCTCTCGGTGAATATTACTTACTGTAGAAGAACGTAATCTCAGAGGTTTTCCTACAACTACGTGCTATAGTAAGCTATACATATAAATATTAATATATAAACCATTTAATTAAAATCAGTTTAAATAAGAAAATATACACTCGTATGTATTCAGTACTATAGTTTTAAATGAATCTTTGTCAGGAACAAAGTACACAAAAGTATCTATATTCAAACTTCCATATCATTAAATACATTTACATGAATTGGAATCTATAGAATGTACCCAGTATTTGTATTTAACTCCCAATACATGTGAATAAGTTACAGAATTGGAGATCTGTGGAATGTATAGTTATCTCTATTCGACCAGTCATACTTCTAAATAAAGTTACAGAATTTTAGGTCTATAGAAAGTACCAAATATCTCTATTCGACATCCCCTACCTCTAAATAAAGTTACAGAATTTTGGGTCTTCTTCGTCTGTGACACAATAAATAACTCACTGCTATAGAAAAAATCGATATATTTAATTTCATATATTGATTTTTTTTTACATAACTATGGGATAATTCGAATTTTTTTTCTGAATTTACTTTTGTTATCTTTTTATTCTTTTTATAAACTTCATTTTTTTCTTTTCTTTACTTCCGTTTAACATTCTTATTTTTCCTTCATAATTCAACGAAATTTTTTCTCCTTTCTTCATTTTTATTTCTATTTCATCTTCGTCTTTCTATAAAAAAAAAAATCTTCTTCCCATTCTTCTCGATTCTTCTTTCCTTTTTTCCTGCTTTTCATTCTTGCCTCTTGTCCGCCCGATATTCGGATCGATATTTTGGGCGAGGCGTGGAGGAGAGGTGGCGATTGTGGTGAGAAGGATGGTATGTCGGCGATCGCCAGAGAAAAAACAAATGTAATATTATTAGTCCTTCATCTGAGAAAGTTAGAGAGATAAAGGCGGGCAAAATTAAAAGACACATTCTGTTTATGATTAATGTTTCAAATAAAGAAAAGACGCTATTTGTGGCCGATCTCTAGCGAAAGCATCATCTAACTCTTCAGTATCAAGAAACGAACGCGGGGTTTGGCCTTGAACCATTTTACAAATAAAGGAATGTATCGCTCGGCTTGTTTCAATAAAATGTTAAGCACACATCAGTTAACTGAATAAGGGAACACGATCAAAAGCAATTGTCATTGGGCAAAGATCCACCAACAATGCTTTAGAAATAAAAGCTTTGATTAATGCTAACAGGAGTAAATCGAGCATTATTTGTTTCTCTTTGGATAAACGTGTATCGTTGCGATGACGTATAGTCTAGCAAGAAAGTTCACGTAAGTGATCAGGATTTGAAAATAAGTAACCTGTTTACGGACAAATTATTCTAAGAGCGGGTACTGGAAATTTCTTAGCCTGAAGAAGCTCTTCGATAAACAAAATCTGATGTTTGGCCCTTTGATCAAATTTTGGGAAAATATTCTAGGCTAAAACTATTCAGTATGCCCTCGTATAAGAAGTCCTCAAAAGTTTCAGTTTAGAATTCCGAAGAATCGTACCGTTTACCATAGTTGTAAAAGATAACATTAACCATTAACTAAAATCTTCCTACCCGCCATTTCCTTAAAGAAAAGACGCTATTTGTGGCCGATCTCATGACGTTGAAACACTAGTTCGTGTATGATCAGCGAAGTTAAGAAATGTCGAGTTTGGTCAGTATGTAAAGGGGTGACTGCTTTGGGGATACCAGGTACTGTAAGCTTGGATATGCTGGTAATGGCTGGGAATTGTTAATCTGAGAGCCGAATTTCAATTCTGGCTGGGTTCTTTATAGTCAATTATTTGCAAATACCTTTAGAAAAAGGGTAGGAATGACCTCTTCTTACCCCAGCTTTGAGTTAATTAGTAAGACTTGAAAGACAACTAAAAGTTCTGTTTTCCTTTTGAATTTTTCTGGTTTGATGAATTGGATCGTATTTACGAATATTTAATGGAATAAATTATTCTTGGAGATGGAATATTAGTGTTTAAGTCTTTTATTATATCCTTACTCTGTCCTGGCCATTGAGTTCTACCTGGATTCTTCCCCTTGCTATTTTAATTCTAAAACATATACACTAAAAGTATTTATTATTTTGCAAAATAAATAAACTAAAATTATCTATCTATCTATTTAATCTATCTATATATATATAAATATATATATATATATATATATATATATATATATATATATATATATTACATTTAATGTTATTTTCTTTTATTTATTTATTCTTACTATTTTTTATTTGTTTCAGGTAAGTGGTCGTCACACATTTTCAAAGTTGCTTTTGGTGACAAAGTGGAGAATAATACTAAAAAAATATCAACAATCAGGAATACAAAAAATAATACGTGCAGAAGTAATCCGGTAAGTAAAGTTACTTTTTACAAAATTCTGTTTACCACTTAGTTATTCCGGTACAGTGGATTTAATATTGTCGCTCGACTGTGCGCCGACAGTATGCGTTTTATCAGCCATCTCTAAGCCAAATATAGTATGCTTTCTTCCACTATTCATTTCGAGTTGTAAAATTTGTATACCCATCATAGTAGTAAATCTATAAATAATAATTTTTATATTTAAGACACACACACACGTATATATGTTTATTTAAAATTATCATACACATATATATATATGTATATAAATGTCTTTATATATATATATATATACACACACATATATATATGAAGACATTTTTTTATGTTTATACATTCTTTTGATATATACAAATATTTAAGTAAATGCTCTGTTTATAATAAACATTATTAAACAACATTTACCGTCCTGAATGTCCGAGAAATTTTCACAGAAAATATTCGTCCTTTATTATAAGCAGAGCATTTACTTAAATATTTGTATCTATAAAAAAGAATGTATAAAATCATAAAAAGTGTCTTAAAATAATTGTCGGAATTAAGTCCATATTATATATATATATATATATATATATATATATATATATATATATATATCATATCAGTCACTGTGTATTTATCTAAAAATAAGTACGCTTAAATTCACCTACATCCCTGCCGTGCGCAAACGGCTTAGTGGTACAATCCCGACTGACACTAATTTAGTCGGGTTTCGATGCTATCTAGAGGCAGCCGGACGTATAGCCACACTGATGAGCTGTGATGCAACGAAACAGTCTGTCTGTGGATGACTATATATATATATATATATATATATATATATATATATATAATAATAATATGAAATGTTATACTGGATATCCGTATTTGAAACACACATCCCATTTTATTTTTACTTTAAACAGTGTGTATTGTGTCTATCAACCTACGCATCTATAAATCTTAATAAAGAAAATGCGAATCTGCAGGCCGAGAGACGTAATACACACAAAATACAAAATGGTTGAAGTCTATTTCAAATATGAGTATCATGTATAATAATGCTGGAAAATAAAAATGTCGGATTAAAAATAAATCGATTAATGTTATATATATATATATATATATATATATATATAGATATATATTTTTTCGGGGTATAAATCGATTAATAATAATAATAATAATAATAATAATATATATATATATATATATATATATATATATATATATATATATATATATATATATATATATATATATAACTAGCTGATAAATCTCGGTTCATTTCAAACTCACGGATGTTAACATCTTTTTTACCTTCTTTCCTTGAAAATGATCGACGATAATCTTCAAGTACTAGGCTTACGGCCATATCATGTTGAAACGCCGGTTCTCATACGATCAGCGAAGTTAAGCAACGTCGTGCCTGGTTAGTATTTGGATGGGTGCCGTAAGCTGGAATTTGCGGTGGTATATAGTTATTGTTAATCGGAGAGTCGAGTTCTAATTAACGTTGGCTCCGTTATTGTCACTTAAGCGCGAATAATATAAATTACATTTTAGTAGATATATTTTACATATTAATTAATCTGAATAAAAATAAAAACGTTTTAAACACGCCATGAAGACTTTTTTTTATTTTCATCAACATGTTCTATGAGGACAGTTCTCTACTGGAGTTGCAATGTTAAACGAGACTTGTCAGTAAACACGGTGAAGACAGACAAGTTAATCTGAGAGATTTCTCTTACATTTGTAAATATTGCATTGGGTAAATTACTGCTTGTTGTCTTTTCTTAAACATGGGCGTAAAGTGATATTTCAAACGTTTGCTTTAGTTAATGCGTATATGTTAGCGTATAGTTACAGACCGCCATATTGAGTCGTTCTACGCCATCCGAACTTGTCACTTCAGGTGCTATATTTTCATTGATTGATTAGAATCTGAAGCGCGTGTTTTTTCGTTCTCCTTGACAAATAAAAATAAATGAGAATCAATGTAAATGCAAAACTTCTTGTCTACAGAAAGATTATCGAGGAGTTGTCAAAAAGAACGACGGATTATGATGGCCATCAAATTTTCGCCAGACTTCGTGACTCCGTGTTAAATAAATGTTCACTAGACTTGGTGATTCTATTTTAAATAGCAATTAACACTGTAAAGTTTGTGAGAACCTTGGACTGAGGTTATGGTTAACGAGGCAATTTCGTTTACCTTTAAGAATGTGTAGTTAGTTCAAGCATCACTGAGTTTCTCCTACCTGGTCAGTGACGGCGAGTAAACATGAAAAATTGACAATCCAAATGCAAATGTAATATATGTGTTGAAGACCAATTGCAAATGGTCGGCCAAATTAGGTGTTTTCGAAATAACGCCGAACAAATTGTGTTAATTATTTCCTCGTATATTTGACTCGAACCCTTATGAAAATGTAAGCTTTTATAACGCACAGCGCAGTTCACGTCAGAAATGCCTCTTTTGTTTGCATTTCTCTTTTTAATATTTAAATGGTTTGAATGACGTCCGTTTTTTTAAAATCTTTTACCAAGCAATACGTCATTATTTAAACTAATCGGCTGAAAAAATAAATCGATTAATGTTATAAATATATAAATATATATATATATATATATATATAAATAAATAGATAAATAGTTAAAAATATTTTTCAGTATAAATCGATTAAAAATAAAAGGAAAAAAATATATATATATATATATATATATATATATATATATATATAACTGTTAAATCTCGGTTCAAAACTCACGGATGTTAACATCTTTTTTACAAAAAATGATCGACGATAATCTCAAAAACATATCATGTTGAAACGCCGGTTCTCTTTACGATCAGCGAAGTTAAGCAACGTCGTGCCTGGTTAGCTGCGGTGCCGTAAGCTGGAATTTGCGGTGGTATATAGTTATTCGAGTTCTAATTAACGTTGGCTCCGTTATTGTCACTTAAGCAAGATATATTTTAATATTAATTAAAAATAAAAATAAAAACGGCCATGAAGAAATTTTTCATCAACATGTTCTATGAGGACAGTTCTCTACTTTGTCAGTAAACACGGTGAAGACAGACAAATTAATCTCTTGGCATATTGCATTTCAATTACTGCTTGTTGTCTTTTCTTAAACATGGGCGTAAAGTGATATTTCAAACGTTTGCTTTAGTTAAATGTTAGCGTATAGTTACAGACCGCCATATTGAGTCGTTCTATATCTTAACTTGTCACTTGGCATTATATTTTCATTGATTGATTAGAATCTGAAGCGCGTGTTTTTCGTTCTCCTTGACAAATAAAAATAAATGAGAATCAATGTAAATGCAAAACTTCTTTTTTAATATTGAGGAGTTGTCAAAAGAACGACGGATTATGATGGCATCAAATTTTCGCCCCTGAAAATAAACTTGGTGATTCTTGCAATTAACCTAAAAGTTTTCTATTCTTCTAAATTATTTATGCACTTCTCCTAACTTAAAAATTGACCAAATCAAATGTAATATATGTGTTGAAGACCAAAATAATTTAGTTTTTCGAAATAAAGCCGAACAAATTGTGTGTATATTTGACTTGAACCCTTATGAAAAATGTAGAGCTTTTATAACGCAATTCACGTCAGAAAATTAATATTTAAATAAGTTTTGACGTCCGTTTTTTAAAATCTTTTACCAAGCAATACGTCATTATTTAAACTAATCGGCACCGCAAAAGTGTAATAAAAATTCAAAAGAAAAAAATAAAGGTTTTTGGTGTAAATCGTTAATACAAAGGGTTGGCATTTTTCAAATACAACAAATATGAACGGTGAGGGAAATGAAACACTTATAAAGTCTGTACATTGGCAGCGACTCCATTTGAACTCTGTGTATGCAGAAAATATCTTGGCATTTCATATTGTTGCCCCCTGACTCCGCCATTGTCCTAAAACTTTCCATTCTTCTAAATATATTCTGCACGAATAAACTTAATACATCAAGTAAGAGGAAAATATTTATTACTAGTGTAGTTGTGAAGTAAAAAATAACGGCAACTATTAGAAAGTTTTAATATTCTGCTGCAATGAAACAAAGGTTTTGGAAAATGTATTGAAATTTAAAGATCAAGAATTCACAAGTAAAATAGAGGGATGACGAAGGAGAGTAACCGCTGATAAATGTACTATATTTATTTACTCCACTTTCCACTGTAGAGCCTGACACGAAAGATATAAATAAATGCACAACGTTAATTATTATATAATGTTGATTAAGAAACGAATTTGAAATTTTCGAGAGAGACATGTCAGAACTTTTTGCATTGAAAATCAGGAAGATAGATAGCTAGAAACTGTCACTTTGGTTTGGTTTACTTGGTTTTACGGCATATCAACCTTAATATTTTAGGATAGGTTCGTATGAATAGAATATGTATTTTTTTGTAAGAAATCAGTTTGTTGATCAGGTTTCATTGACGTACTTTTGTAAAGAGTTTTTTTGTCGAGAGTCATATGTATTGCTGATAACATTTTTTTCAAAAATGTATTGCTTGTAATATTTCTTTTCAAAATGTATTGCTGGTAACATTTATTTTTCAAAAAAAAATGCATTGCTGGTAATTTTTTACTATAAAAACATATTTTATATTGTCATAGTTTTTTGAACCCAGTTTTGGGGTTAATTATTTGCCCATATCTGGGACCTAAACAGGTGCTACCAGACCAAGTGAGGGTGGACGTAGGAATAACAGCAGTTAACAGGTGGTTCCACGCTCCTGACAACCTTCGAATCAGAGGCCTTGTTGCCGGATATAGTTTATCGTCATACTGAGGACGAGAAATTGTCAGTGGATAGTTGGTGGATGAAAGTATTTTTGATAAAATAAAGTCATGCCTAATGTCAATGATTGTCTGCGTCCAGGGACTGATGCAAGTCTGAAGAAGAGAATAAAGTTATGAATGTGTAACGAATGTGTAATTTAAATCCTGTTTTCTTTGTTATTCCTCATTCAAGAGAAAAGATAATGTGTCTGAAATACAGAGCCAAATTCATAATAGACAACCAGTGGATATTATTTCGAATTGCTATGTTTTGCCATACGGGTAGTATTACGGCTTGATGGCGGTCTCTGAGCAGAGCACAAATTCCAGTCTACTGCGTTCCTGTTCGCACTAATACCCTTGGAAAACGAGTGAAGTTTTTAGCATTAGTTATGTAATACATTCAGTGATCCAATCCAGGACTTCATTGGGATTATTATTATTATTTTATATTTCGATTTCTGCTATGGTCATACTACCTACTAAGTCTGCGGGATGACCTAAGGCAGTTGGTGGTGTGTTGTTATGGCTACATTTCATGATTTGCTTTTCTAACTCCCATAACATCACTAGCGTTACATGGACAAAGGTCTTCTTAGTGTGTGGGTTGCACTTATCAAGACAATTTTTGTATTTCTCTTAAGCTAGGATTTCCAGGCATTTTTCAATGTGTTGTTGTGTTCCTTTTTTTTTATCATTGCCATGACTGGTACTATTCTTGTTTTTAATTTCCAAATTTTTTTTATTTTGATTTCCAAGTCCTTATACTTCGATAGTTTTTCAAATTCTTTAGTTACTATATTGCAGTCCACTAGGTAAACACTATCAGTTATAGGAAAAGATTTCTTTTCGGCTTTTGACAATTATGTCCGGCCTATTTGCCTCAATCTTCCTGTTTGTAAAGATGGTCGTGTAATCCCATAGAATTGTGATTTCTTCTATTTCTGTAACCGGTGCTGGGTGATGTTCATACCAGCGTTTGTTAACATCTTTTCCACAGTATTTTCACATTGTCCAGTATAAGTATTGTCTCAGCCTATTGTGACCATTTTATATGTATTTGGCACATTCTGAGATTAGATGGTCTATGGTTTCTTGATACTTGTCACAGAACCTGTATTTTAGATCCACACTATTATCAACATCGGCTTTATTAGCCCGTTCTGGATATAGGCCAGGCAGAGGTTTGTCTTGCCAGTGTTTTTGATTGTTACTCCAGTATCTAAGCTAATAGAAGATGTTTGTTGTAGTGATCCTGGTAAAACTGTGTATTTAGCACATTTATCCAAACCGAATTCCATTCCAATATCATCTCTGAAACATTTTACTGTTTTGAAGAGACCTTCCAGCTTACCGTCATTCCTAGCATACAACTTTAAGCCGTCCATGTAAAATAGATGGCCTATTTTCTTTTGAGATATAGCAATATCACGTCTTGTTAAATTCTCTGTTTAATGCTATTAGGGATATACAAAGTGATAAGGAAGACAAAGAGTCAATTTGACATATTTTTCGGTTGATCTTCATTTCACCAGACTTATAGACTCCATTTATATGTTTCAGCTGAAGAGTTGTTTTTCATATCGATATACATTATTTCATGAAATTGATGACGACAGGTGATACCTTGTATATATTTAAAGTT